GGGGGGGCCTGGCCCTGGGTTGGGGGAGGGGAGTGTGGGGATGTTGGTCTTGGGTCTGTGAGGAGAGGAGGGCAGTGTCAGAGTGTGTGAGAGAGGTGTAAGTAACGGGGTCTGTCAGGGTGTATATGAGGGTGTAGATATCAGGAGTCTGTGGGGGGAAGGGCAATGACAGGTTGTATGTGAGGGGTGTAGGCACTAGGGATGTTAGATACCCTGTAATTGAATAATCTTGTAACTACACCAAATATTATCGGTTACACGATTATTTGATAATCCCTGGGGTCATGGACAGCAGCCACTGATCTCCAGCCCCACGCTCGAGAAGTCCCCTGACACCCCACTCTTCTGCCTCTGAATCAGAGGCAGCAGTCCCTCTGCGGGGGGCCTCAACTCCCCTCAGACAGAGGTTGTGCCTGCATCCCATGGAGCAGCCTCCATACCTGGCAAGCCCAGACCTGCTGTGGACAGAGACTGCTCTGTAGCAGCCTCCTCTGCCCTCCCCCCCCTCCCACCTGACTGGGGGTGCAGGCAGCTCCATGGAGCCAGTGCTCAGCCAGGGAGCCAGCTTTTAAGATGGGGGGAGACAGCTGATACAGAGATTGTAAGGGAGGGAGGGGAAGTGTGTGAAGTCAACAAGATTAACCAATAAACCCAGACTTATCAGTTAATCATGTAAACTACACTTTGACATCCCTAGTACGAACCAGGAGTCTGCGAGCAGGAAGGAGGGCAGCATGAGGGGGTCTATGAGGAGTGTAGGTCTTAGGATTCTTTCTGTAAGTGGAGGAGACCAGTTGTTTGAAAGGTGGGGAGTGTATCAGAGTGTCTTTGACTGGAGAGAAAGCTGGGGATGGATAGGGGTTTCTCTAAAGAGAAATATCAGGTTTTTTGGAGGGGGGCAGTCTTTAGAGGTGACCTGTTTGTGTGATATGACTATGTTTACAGAGATCCAAAGTGGTATGTGAGGGAGCTGTATGTAGGTGGGTGAACAAGGGAGGAACAGGGTGCAGCTGCAGTCTCTCTGTGTGAGAAGCCCTTCTATGGTGAGAGGGGTGGGTGAGTTTGGTGCGTGTCCAGTTTGGTGCGTGTCCCATTTTGAGTAGTGGCTTGTATAATAGAATTCTAAACTATATTATACTGTTATACCGCTAGGTGGTGCCATGTGCATCAAATCTACTAAACTTGGCCCTGCTGAGTATCTTGCTCAGAAAGAAGCTGTGACTGTCCCATATTGATAAGGAGCTTGACACATCAGGTTGGCTCCTGTGAAGAAAATTGTCACTTTTTTTTTTTTTTTTTTTGGTGCAGAAGGTAGGTGCTTCCTCTGCTTTCACACTCCTCCTCCAGCTAAAGCAGGTTCGGTGACTGCAGTGAGATAGGATCCAGGCAACTCAGGACTGCCTCCTGGTCCAGTGTGGGGTTTATACAGTCCATCATAGTAGGCATCCTGAGAGCCACAGACCCTACATTGCCTCCAGCATCTGGCAAAAGAATGGACAGCATGGAGCTGGCACATTACCTTGTCCAGGATATCCTCCTGCTGCAAGAGAATAAGAACCTGACAGAGATCTGGATGCCTCCAAAATCAGGGGGATTAATGGCAATAGAAACCAACAGCATTTCCATCTAGTACCTGGTCATTTCTCAGGGACAGATTTACTCTAGACCTCTGGGATTGACTCTTTCTCTCTGGTGATCTCTAGTGCTAAACAATCTACCCACTGTAGGGTGAACTCCAGTCTCCATTCCCCCAGCCTCCCTTTAACAGCTGTCCCACCTCCAAACCCACTGGCTGATGCAGCTCATGTTATCAGAATATCTCCTCCACAAACCACTCAAACTAGGTAGGATAGGGAGAGGACTCTAGCAGAGGGGCTGGGAGGTTTTCTAGTAGCAATAATGTGGGACGAGGGATGCTGAGCCCTTTCCCCAAGTGACTCTCACTGATTCATGGTGAAGCCTGCAAGATGGCAACCTTAGTGAATGGGGCTGATCAACACTTGTCACTGATTGACTCATCCAATTCTCTCCAGAACAGGGCAGCAGCAAAGCAACCTTCCCCCAGCCCTTGTGCTTCAACCCTGCCTACTCAGTTTGCCATGGCAAAGGTAATGCAACAGCTCTACATCATCCTGCCCCCCAAAGCCGCCAGTGACAGGGGCAACTCTAAATGGTAGCTAAGGAACTGAGCTAAGGCCCTGTGGAACAGAAAAGGCTCATAGACATCACTAGCACGTTTTCTTGCCCATACCATGAGCAATGGCAGCTCCTGATGATGCAATGCTTGTAATTAAAGAGCCTTGCTAAAGAGCTGATTCTGAACTGCTCAGGGACAAGCTGGCTCCAACTCTGACTCATTCCTCTCCAGGCTTGTTGCTGTCCAGCCACTTAATAGCAACAGGATGGAAAGGACTTCCATGACCTAGGGTACGTCTAAACTGGCGGGTTTTAATACTCCACCGTGTCTAGGGAATGCATCTGCTCTTCTGCTTTTTTTTTTTGGTGGAAGAGCTAACGCGCTCTTAGAGGATAAAGGCAGTGTCACCACCCCCAAACTCATGAGCTTACTCCAACTCCTTACCTCATCACCCATTGGCTGACCAACTTTCCCCAGAATGGAACTGGCTAGGACCAGCCCAGCCCAGCTGATCTAGAGCAAGGGGTCATAGATGGCAAGAGTTGCTGTTTGGAGCAGTGATTTTCTCTGCCTCTGAGACAATATTTCTGAAAACCAGAAATCTACAGAACATGAGCCTTTAAATGCTTGCCCAGAGCCAGGCTCCAAACCCTGGGGCTGGAATGGTATTTATGTCTGGAGGCTCAATTGCACACAAGGATGGATCAAAAGCTTAGTGACTGTTACTGCAAGGGGGTGGGGGAGTCACAGCAGGGGCCATGAAGTGCTGGGAATATCTATGTGGGTGAGCAAGCATGCTCTGGAGTGCAGCTCTGGGACACACCAGGAGTCTCCTGTCGCCTCCAACAGAGATACTTCCTGGGAGTAGTTGCTAGGAGCGTGCATGGGACTTTTGGAGCTGACACACCAAAGCTCTAGTCCTTCCCCTTAGTGATTTCTCTCTAGTAACTGTGTTAGTAGCTGCAGCATGTGAGTTTGTTCCAAGGAGAATCCAAACTGCAGCATGAGAAGGACACTGTAACATC